GTAAGTAGGTCAGTTGAATACAGACAGCTTTTTGACTGTGTGTGGAATAAACCTGAGAAAGAAGGTACCTGTAGAAAATTCTTTTTCCTATAAATGGAAATGAAGACTGACCTGGGAAAGAGGTATAGATGGTGAATGTGTTTGTTTCTGTAACTACACAGAGATGGTGAGTGTTGGGAAAGTTCTGCGGTCCTGGGGGCCACAGGTCTTTGTTCTGACATCACCTAGTTGTAAATTTGAGATTATTTAGCTACAACCTACCTCATGAAGATTAAAGAAAATCATCCTTTTGAAAATACTTTAACTATAAATTTTAATGTAAATGTTAGGTATATTCCTATACACATAATGGATGGCTAGTAAATGCAGATCCCTAACAAGACAGTAGGGCTTCCACTGTTTGTGGTTTCTTTCATACCAATTTGATTTAAATAGCAGTTAGGTGTTAAGACATACCTTGTTATTATAAGATCAACACTTTTGTTAACAGCTTTTTTTTCCTTTTCTTTCTTTTTTTTAAAGTTTATTTATTTTGAGAGAGAGAGTGTGTGCACATGTGCACACTCATGGGTGAGTGAGCAAAGGAGGGGCAGAGAGAGAGAGAGAGAGAGGGAGAGGGAGGGAGGGAAGGAGAGAGGGAGGGAGGTAGAGAAAATCCCAAACAGGCTCCGGACTGTCAGTGCGGAGCCCCACCAGGGGCTGATCCCATGAGATCAAGAGTCTGACACTCAACTAACTCAACTACCCAGGCACCCCAGCTTGTTTTCTTTTAACAAGAACTCACTGTTACCATTGTTTGGACCCCATGTGACAAAGAGTTAGTGCTAGGATAAGTCTTTCCTATTCTATCATCCTTTGCCTATGCTAACATCATACTGTGGAAAAGGTGATACCAGCTAATAAACTCTTGGCGAGACTTATTTGTGACATTTAGGAAAAGGGAGTTAGGAGTTATTAGATAATATGTCATGTGATTTTCCCATCCAGGAATAAAGAATTGGGTGTTTTGGGATTTGAGTCCCAAAGGTCCTTCTTGGTTAAACAAAAAACAAATGAATATAAACCTTATAGGTGAAAATGATCAGACAATTAAATGTCGTTTTGCTGCAGGTTCATGTTCCTTCTTGGTTAAACAAAAAGCAAATGAATATAAACCTTATAGGTGAAAATGATCAGACAATTAAGTGTCATTTTGCTGCAGGTTCATGTTGGGAATGTATAGAGGTTCTGACTCCAGATGTTCATTTTCTTTGGGAAGCTGGGAATAAGAACTGTTTTTGGTTTTGTTTTGTTTTACCATAAAAGTTCTCATTTCATTAGGTAAGGAAAATGTCATGGCCAGACCTATCTTTGGCTGTGAACTTTATCCCAGTGTGCTAGTGCTTTTATTTTAAAAAGTTATTTCCTACTTGAACTTGATTCTCCTCTGTTAAGCAAAAAGGTCTCTTGTGTCTGGGAAATCTTAATAAAAGATGTTTTTGTCCTAGCAGGGGAAATTGTTCATAAAGATTTACTCTTTACAATTTCCTTTTCCCTTTTTTTTTCCCTCTAATTTTTTCAAATTTTAAGAGTCACACTTAGTCAATCTCAGGCGGTTGATTTACCAAGTCCTTTAAAAATAGTTTTCTTATATCTTTTGGGATCGTTTTGTCCATGCATCCCTATACTTGATAATTGCCAATAAATATTAATTTGACTTAATCTGCAACATTCATCAACACTTCTCTACTTGCTGCATTAAACCAAAAATTCTTTGCTTCAGTGTAATGTAGAAGAAAATGATTGGATTTGGGGATAAACAGGGAAGAGTGTAGGAGACAATGAAAACTTGATTCAATTCATTTGCCAGAAATACATTTAGGCAGAAAGCATTATCGTTTCTTTGCTTTTGCTGAACTTCATTGAATCCAAGGGTCCCGCCTTCACATTTCTGGACTGGTTTCTCCAATGGCTTGCCCTCTTGATAGTCCTTAACAAGTCCTTTGCTGTAACTGCAGCTGGCCATGAAAGCATTTGGGAGCACACCCACATAATAATGACACTAAATTATGAAAGCCAACATTTATTTAAATTAGACATGCCACACATTCAGTTGTACTTTCTCTCTGAGAAAAGTTAATGACTGGTGGAAAAAAGAACTAGAACTATGCATACATTTCCATGAATGTCTTTAGAATGTTAGAGAATGGCTTGAGTTACTTGTTAAATGTTTTAATTTTTTTGAAATCTAGAAAATTACTTTTTCAAGCAGGTATGTTACCTGATGATTCATCACATTTCCATTAAGGAATAAGGTCCTCAGCATGCTACTTGTCTCATGATATTTACACCAGATATTTGAAAGATTATCAGGCTATTTCAGCAACTTAGTGTGTTTGTAAGCAAATAGACTTTGCTCCAGTGTAGGGGTATAATCTGATATTTAGTTCATCTGAACCAGGGGTTGGCTATTTGGAGGAATGGCAGAAAATGGAAATGAACTCTGAGGGCATACACTGGTGTAAATATCCAGCTAGGAATATGAATTTTTTACTTAGGAATGCATCAGAAGCCAGCAATACCCCATCTTAAAACACCCCTTCCCCCAGCCATCCCCATACCACCCCATATAATTTGGATATTTAAAGAATCCTTGTTACTAAGATGTCACTAGTAGAGATTAGTCTTTTCATCTTTGGGTGGAATCTTCTCCACACTTTGGATTTGGAGATCCCCTGGATCTGAGTCTAGGTAACCCAGATCAGCTTCTTGAAAGGATGGTTTTGCCAGGGAATGGGAGCCTTGATGCTTTTTTCTTCATTGACTTGTCTTAGATATTTAGAGGGGACAGGCTCAATTAATTATTAACAGAAGTTCCAGTTCCATCTATTATTTTATCTCCACTATCAGTCTGCTTTCATACTGATGGCTAGCCGGGGCATTAGCCATGGGAAATTTACCTAGATGTTAATATCTGCCTATCTGGGATGTGATGGGATTTTCTTTTCTCTCTTTCCATATTTTCCTTCTATGTTACACCCCCACCCCACCCCCCATATCCCTTGGGATTAAGACAATCTCTGGTAAAATAAAGGGATGGAAACTTGATTATGATAACAGATCAAAATTATGGAGATAGTGGTTTACCTTCGAGACAGTCCACTCTTTAGAAACTGAAAGGTTTAAAGCTTTCTTACAGAAATACACAGTGAGGACTTGCCAACTGTCAGCCATGTTGTAAAAAACAATGGGCAAAACCTCAAGGCTGGAAAAGAGAGACCTAGTCAGGGCCAGATACATAGATGAAAGAGATCTTGGGGTGGAGGAGATGAAAAGGAGAAGGGAGCAGAGAAAAGGGATTTCTGAAATGAACTCGGTAAGGGCTCAAGCACACTCTCTGGAAAAGGTTCTTTTGGGACCATGGAAAAGTGCCTTGAGTCACTTTTGGGGGGAGGTGTGTATTCATGATCTGGGAGTTGTAAATTGCTTTTATTTGTGATCATGGAGTGCACCTGTACATACTTGCTGACCTTGCATGTGAAACTCTGAGATTACATACAAATATAGGAAGATTCTAGCTTTGTATGAATCTATGGGTTTTTTGTTTTTGTTTTTGTTTTTTTTGCAGTGAACATCTAGAGTCAATATCATAAAGCTATTAGGAGCCCAAAACTCAATTACTTCCTTTTTCTTTTTTTGAAGTCACATTTGGAATCTTTGTTTTGTTGATAGTCAGATCCATAATTAGATTATGGGCTGGTTGCATTTGGTAAGAGACTCCTCCCACTGGTTTGCAAGGAAAAATCTCCTTCCGGGATTACCAAAGACTGGGAATATGAATTTTTAGTGATTACTCACGTTCAGTAAATTTGAGGACTTTTACTAAAGCAGTGCTAATCAGGTTTACTCTGTGTTCACCCACATTCCCTCTTCCATTTCATAACTCCCTTACATTTGAGGAGACTCTTGTGTGTCTATAAACTCTTGGATTATAAAGATGGTGATTCTCATATTTGCTATGATATTTCTAACATCTATTGTTGTCTCTTGTAGATAGAAGGGTTTCAGGGAGTATTTGTTGAACTGGTTGAATTAAATCAAGAAATAGTGATACAGTCAGATTCACGGGAGAGCTGGAGCTATTTGTCTGAATCATACAGTTCCAGAAGAGTAAGAATTAAGTACCAAAGTCTTCCCCAAAGTTAGTGCCTAGCTGCTCCCTTTGTGTGGGAAAGTTTATTTGAGGGGGCTGCATAAAAGAGGAATATGGTTTGATTTCTTGTAGCCCGTTAATTATAGGGTAGCTTTCCTTTGCCCATCCTCTATTTTTCCTGACATGATTTTGTACTGTCCACACCTCCTTGTTATGATAATAACAGAACAGTATATTTTGCTTTGGTCTTAGTTTTGATCCAACAGAAAAAATCAGTGTTGTCTCTTTTCCCAAGGAGATGTCCCAGGACAATTTTCCCAAAGGACCACAGTACTGATTCATCCATTCTTTATTTATTTTTATTGCTTTGATTTTATGTCATTTATACTCTTGCTAAATGTTAATAAATTACATGCCATGAAGAAATATATTCTAGAGGACATGAAAAAACAGACCTCATGGCTGTTTACTCTCTTGGCAATGATTCCACTCTTCATTACCCTAACATTCCCCAGTTTCCCAGTTGCAAGCTTGCCTTCCATGACAGTTTTCTGTTCACGATGAGCCACTTACAGATACAGGATTGGTGGTACCTTGCAGTGTGACAAACCTCTGGTAAGAAAATGATAACTGTGTTCTTTAGCCATCTGTCTACTTGTGTGTTTTTCTCTCTCTCCTACAGTTATCTGGGATGTCTAAAAATGTAGTATTCCACAACCATGTGGGTTACCTGACTGCTAATGTCTGAAGGGGAAACATTCAGGCATTGGTTCTGAAAAGTTCCCTTTGTTTTCCAATAGGCACATTATAGGATACATTCAAACCCATCATCTTGAAGTTGAGTTCGACAATGACGAGACTAGCTGGGTTCTGGACTTCACACACGTGACCCTTAATAAACATTTATTATTTCCTTACTGGGAATCCTTACATATCCTCATGAGAGACCACAGGGGTGACATTATTGTTAAAGAAAATTGGGGCTTCTTGTAAACATTCTGGAGACTCCTCAACTTCTTGGAAAGGATGGGATCCCCGCTCAGCTTCCAGCTGCTGAATCTTCCTTTCCTTCTCCTCTAAAACTTCTTCCAGCTGGGTGATCTTTTCAGTCTGAAGGGAAACCTGCATCGACAACTCCATAATCAGGTTAATTTTTTGATCACCTTCTTCCACAGGCGGGAGACCGCCACAGGACTCTTCCCGAGGGTTGTCTTCTAAAGCAAACAAGAAAAACAAAATCTGAGCAGTTTTAATTGGATTTCCCAGAACTCAAAGACAGGGAAGATGGAAAAGCTTTATTTCTCACGTTCTTAAAAGGGAACACAGATGTTGCGTCATCTGGTCAGATAGACCGAGAATGGAATCCGGGTCCGGTGAGGGAAAAGATTCTGGGTGCTCATGAAAAAAGAACTTGGAAACCTCTAGAGAGGGAGGAGAATCAGTCTTTGCCAACTCTTTTTTGTACACACTTAACTTTTAATTAACCATGGGAATGAAGCGTCCTTGAAAATCAGATCTGTAAACAACAGCATCCCAAGTTTCATGGTATCCTTTTGCCTAAGAATCTCACAAGAGTGACAATCAAGTAGAAATGGACTTTAAATTGAATTTTAACTCAAATAGGAAAAAAAAAAAGTTGTCATTGCCCCTTCTGGGGGAAGTGATGAAAAAAGACATGTTACTTAACCCAGGTCAGCTTTAAAGTTGGCAGAGGTATAATTTGAGGGGATCTAGGAAAATTTTTAGCCGAATATCTTCCATAGAGATTCATTCTCTCTTCTCTCTCTCTTCTCTCTCTCTCTCTCTCTCTCTCTCTCTCTCTTTCTTTCTTTCTCTTTGTCTTTAGGTCTGAAGGGTTTATAGCATTTCTTTCGTAAAATCTCAAATATCCCCTGTATATAAAAGTTTATGCTTTATAATTTCTGACCCTTCAGATAAGGATAAAAGCCTGAATAAGGAGAGAGAGGCTTCAACAAAGAGATAAAATATTAGTGGCTGATAGCAGGGAATCCTTAAAAAAAATTCTGGTAGACCATCACAAAATTTACCTGCTCAAAGAAGCAGGTAAATCCTATTAGACTTAAGCAAGACCACCCTCCTTACCACTCTCACCCAGAGAGTGAGATTTCCACCATAAAATCATTTATCTGAGTTATATAGAGGGAAGACATCAACTATAAAAGGGATGTCAACGACTTGGGTATCACTGTAGGAATACTCGAACTAATGGTGTATGAATTAATAGTATTAACAGTTAATCAGTATAATTAAAGGTTCAGCATTTACTCAGTCCTCAGTGTAAACCAACCCTACAGCTGCACCCGAAGGCAACATTACTGCCAGTCCAGGATACAAATACCTGCTACTATTGTATACCTATACACCTGCTAAAGATAGGGCACCTGTGCTGTGATTTTCCATGTAGGTGGGGAATCACCCCCTTCTCAGCAAATAAAACTAATTTGCAGGGTTGTTTTTTTTTTTTTTGTAATTTTCCCAAATGATCATGAGACAAAAGCTTGAGCATGGAATTACACAGTGGGCAGGATAGTTTTGGCCTCACAAAAGTGATAAGAGGAAAGATGAGATGTTTTCTGCTCTTAGAAATTGTTATTAGCAATATACTACGTTTCAAGATTCCATGGAGATGTTTTTGTTCTTAATATTTGAACTTTTACCATAATATTGACGGAGATGGTAGTTGATGTACCTTTCTCTAAAAGCAATGAAAAACATCTCCATGTCTCAAAGGAGCATTTAGTTTGTTGCCTCTGCAATAGGCTTGTGCTTTTAGGCCCAGGAGAGTTAGTCCATTTGGCAGGAGGCCTTCATTATCTGCCGTTACACCAGGGCCTCACCTTTCGTTTCATCTGACCAGAGCTATGCTGTCCGATACAGTAGTCACTAGCCACATGTGGCATTAAGCAATTAAATGTGGCTATATGAAATGAGATGTACTGGAAGTATAAAATACACATTTGAAGGGATCCTGGGTGGCTCAGTCAGTTAAGCATCTGACTTTGGCTCAGGTTATGACCTCATGACTCATAGGTCAAGCCCCACATTGGGCTCTGTGCTGACAGCTTGGAGCCTGGATCCTGATTCAGATTCTGTGTCTCCCTCTCTCTCTCTGCCATCCCCTCTCACACTCTGTCTCTCTCTCTCTCTCTCAAAAACAAAATAAACATGACAAAAAATAAAATGCACATTTGATTTTGAAGACTTAATTTGAAAGAAATGTGAAATATCCCATTATATTTTAAAAATTGGCTATATATTAAAGCAATAATATTTTGGGGATATATTGTGTTAAATAAATTTTATCTTATTTTTCAGAGAGAGAAAGAGCACAAGTGGGGGAGAGGAGCCGAGAGACGGGGGAAAGAGAGAGAGAGAGAGAGAGAGAGAGAGAGAATCTTAAGTATGTGAAGCCTGATGTGGAGCTCAATCCCATGACCCTGGGATCATGACCTCACCTGAAATCAAGAGTCACATGTTTAACTGACAGAGCTATGCAGGTGCCCTAATAAAATATATTTTAAAACAATATTCGCTCATTTATTTTTACTTTTTAAAATATGTGACTACTAGAGAATTTAAAATACCAGTATCAAATGTGGCAGGCATTTGTGGCTCTCATATTTCTGTTGATTAGTGTTGGGCTAGAGTTTCTTTTGGAGGAACACTTTCTAAAACCCACATAGATGGGTTCCTCTTAGATGGTCCTGTTTAACATGTACAGTTGTTATTTGGGAGTGAGGGCTGTTGAGGCTTTCAACCATTAGCATACAGATCATTTCTCTGTTACCATTGAAGGTGGATGCATGGAAATCTGGGCTGGGAGAATACGTTTTTAGGGGTTGATGTGAGTTCCTACAGAAGAGGAAAGAAAAGACAGGAAGTGGAAGTAATAGTGAGAAGACAGGAAGGAAAGGAACAGTGGGCAGTATAGGGAAGGCTGGGCATTGGTGAGGCTCAGGGATGGAGAAGGTAATCAGGAGCCTCCCTCCCTGATATATGTGCCTGTCCCCTTTCTCTTTGACCTCTTCTTCAATCATTTCTTGCTCTAGGTGTTCCTCTGTTTTCCAGAAGAGTTATTTTCCACCAATTTGCATAATAAAGGAGTTTAGTGCCATTACAAAAGGCAAACTGGTCAAAAGTGCCTGTCTTGTTTTGTTTTTTAATAATGCAATATAGGTGGAATAATGTGTTCATCTAATTTCAGTGATAAAGGGGTAAAAATGCAACAGGATGCCATTACATAGGCCATCATTGTTACTAAGTCTATATCCTCTGTCTCTGCCCTCCCAGGAGAGAATAGTGTAGACAGAAGGTAGAAAGAGAAGCAGGGTGTCTTGGTCAGCCTAGGCTGCCATAACACAGAACCACACCATTAACTTGGTGGCTTAAATGACAGAGATTTATTTTCTCACAGTTCTGGAGGCTGATGGTTTGAGATCAGGGTGCCAGCATTGTTGGGTTCTGGTGAGAACTCTGCCTGGTTTACAGAGAGCCACCTTCCCACTGTGTTCTCACTTGGTACTGAGAGAGACCACAAGCACTCTGATGTTTTCTTTTAAAGGCACTAATCTCATGACCCCACCCCTATGACCTCATTGAAACCTATTTACTCCCAAAGGCACCATATCTCCAAATCCTATTACATTGAGGTTAGGGCTTCGACATATGAATTTTGTTGAGGATACAATTCATACTGTAGCACAGAGAAAAGACAATCGAAAAAAGAGAGAACCTGAGGGCTTTGATTCCCTCTGTATTGTTTTCACGCATTACGTGAAAATGCTGATAAGGAGATAAGCCAAAGTACATATATACACCAGCTCCTTTAGATTCCACATTTAAGTGATATCATGTAGTATTTGTCTTTCTCTATCTGACATATTTTACCAAGAATAATGTACATAAGAGCTGAACTCATAGAAAAAAGTTGAGTGGGGGTTACTAACAGGATGGGGAGTGGAGGAAATGGAGAGGTGTTGGTTAAAGTGTGCAAATTTCTAGTTAGAAGCTTCTGAGTATCTATTGTGTTGTGTAATGATTATAATTAATAATACAGTATGGCATACTTGAAAGCTGCTGGGAGAATAGATCTTAAATATTAACTCCACACAATGGAAATGGTAATTATGTGATGGGTTGGTGTCCTTAGCTAACACTATGGTGGCAGTCATTTTGCAAAATACACATGTATCCAGTGAACACATGGTACATTTTAAACTACACAATGTTCTATGTCCATTATATCTCAGTAAAACTGGGATGGGGGGTAAGTATATATACCAAGAAGGGAATTTCTCATACAGCTGTATTTTACCATTCAGTATTTTATCATTTAATGACCTCTTCACACATAGAATAAAAATATTTTTGTTCCATTTCTAAACACATTACAAATCACAAAAGTGTTTAAAACCTCTTCAGTAAAGTGAGGGACTCCAGGAGTCTCACATCCTATTTGTAGTGGAAATAGCCCAAGGCCACCCAGTGATTTGTCCAGAGTCCACCACTAACCTTTGCATGATCTGACCTGCTCTGTTCTCCTGGAGTACAAGCTCCCTTATCTGAAAGCTCCCCACCGCTCTACACGTCCCCACATCTCGAACACTGGTGGTCTTTCCTAGATTTTCACTAGCAGATCAGATAGTCTTGCCAAGGTTGGGTCTGCCTGAAGCATGGAAGGTTCTGTCACCTGACCAGATAATCGAAGGTTTATCCCCATACCCAAGGGCTCCATGAGACAGAGAGCAAAGAGAAATTCTTCTGCCAAAGGGAGGGAGCAAACCTGATTAGCCACAGTCAGGGTATGAAATCATAATTGCTATAGTTGTAGAGGTTTTTACCAGCACATGCCATTTTTCATGATTTCCCGTTTTTCTGCTTCAGCTTACAATAAGTGTGAATGAGGATGATGGCTTAGGGTTGTGGCAAAGAGGAGGCCAGAGAAAAGATGGTGACAGTTGTGCATGCTTAAAAAGGTTCAGAAAGAAGACCGACAATAGGAGCATTCTTCTTTCCAGAGCTGGGGCAGACTGTGCTCACTATTTTTTCTTTTTTTCTTAAAATTTGATATAAATCCAAGCTAGTTAAGATAGAGTGGAGTAATGGTTTCAGGAGTAGAATTTACTGATTCATCACTTACGTGTGACACCCAGTGCTCATCCCAACAAGTGCCCTCCTTCATGCCCATCACCCA